TTCTTGATAATGTTATCCATAACTTGTTATGATCCACACAGTAGAATGCTTTCCTGTAGTCGATAAAACACAGGTAAACATCTTTCTGGTATTCTCTGCTTTCGACAAAGATCTGTCTGACATCAGCAACGATATCCCTAGTTCCATGTTCTCTTCTGAATTGAGCTTGAACTTCTGACAGTCAATGTATGGCTACAGACATTTTTTAATTATCTTCAGCAAAATTTTGCTAGCATGTGATAATGACATTGTTCGAAAATTTGTGCATTCCACTGATTGCCTTTCTTTGGAATGGGGGACAAACATGGATCTCTTCCAGTCAGCTGGCCAGGAAGCTGTCTTCTAATTTCTTCACATGAACTAGTAAGCACTTCCAGCATTACATCCATGTGTTGAAGTATCTCAATTGGTATTGTGTCAACTCCTGGAGTCTTTTTTTTCACCAATGTGCAGCTTGATCTTCTTCCTTCAGGATCAGCAGTTCTTGATCATATGCTACCTCTTGAAATGGCTGAACATCAACTAATTCACTTTGGTACGGTGACTGTGTATTCCTTCCATCTTCTTTCAACGCTTCCAGCATCATTCAATTTTCTGTGCAAAGAATCCTTCAGTAATGAAACTCCAGGCTTGAATTTTCTCTTCAGTTCTTTCAGCTTGAGAAATGCTGATCATATTCTTCTCTTTTGGTTTCTAACTCCATGTCTTTACACAATTCATCAAAATACTTTGCCCTGTCTTCTCCAGCCACCCCTTGAAATCTTCTGTTCAGCTCTCTTCCATTCACTTTAGCTACTCTGTGCTTAAGAAAAAGTTTCAGAGTCTCTTCTAACATCCACTTTGGACTTTTACTTCTTTCCCATCTTTTTCAGTTTGTTTTTATTTTATTTTTTGTTGTTGTTGTTGAGACTATATACAGCAAAACTTACACCAATTCAATAATTTCTACATGTACAATTCAGTAACATTTATTACATTTTTCAAGTTGTACAACCATCCTCACCCTCTTTCCCAAATTGTTCCTCCTCCATTAACATACACTCACTGCCCCCTAAGTTTCCTATGTAATCTTTGGAGTTGCTTGTCAGTTTGATCCCACAAAGTTAGTTCTTAAAAGAACACAATGATCAAGACAGACATTCTTTACTAATTAAGCTAAACTACTGTTTGGTTTAAAGAAGATTTCAGGCAATATTTTTGGTTTAAAGTTTAAAGATAATCTCAGAAAAGAAAAGATTTTATCAGGGCATTAGTTTCAGGGATTCATCCAGCTTCCATGGCTCCAGTAAGTCTGGAATCCATGAGAATTGTTCTGCATTTCACCTTTTGATCAACATTCTTCTATAGAGTCTTTCATCAAAACATTCAGTAATGGTAGCCAGGCACCATCTGGTTATTCTGGTCTTATGGAAAGGAGACAGTTATTCACAGAGGCAGTTAGTCATACATTGATTTCCTCCTCCTATTCCTGACTTTCCTTCTTCCTCTACTGCTCCAGGTAAATAGAAACCAATTATTGGACCTTGGATGGCCGCTTGCAACCTTTTAAGACCCCGGGCAGTACGCAACAAACTAGGGGGTGTAACAGAAGAATTAAACACAACATTAGGCCGATTAATGGGTTATAAGGTCAGTCACAGGATGACAGAACTGATGCGCTTGCTGTCATCTGAATGATGAATTTTCTTTCTACCATTTGCAGGAGAGAATGTTAAAGCTTCTTTTCACATGAAACCATGACCCTAAACCTCCAAACCAAGAAACTCAATCCCATGAGGTGTTTGCCTGTACATAAGCAGCCTCCGCAGCTATTCTTTTTTTGTTGCTGTTGTTGTAGATATATCTATCACACCAAACCAAACCCACTGTCATCAAGTTGATCACTCATAGTGATCCTATAGGACAGAGTAGAATTGCCCCATAGGGTTTCCAAGGAGCAGCCGGTGGATTCAAACTGCCACTTTTCTGGTTAGCAGCCGAGCTCTTAACCACTGTACCACCAGAGCTCTATCTATCACACATTTGCCAATTCTACTTTTCACAGGTGTCAATTTATTGACATCAATTTCATTAATCGCCTGTGCAACCCTTAATCAATGTGATTTTTTTATCACTGTAAACCAAAACTCAGTGATCCATAAGCAATAACTCTTCTTTTCCTGCTTTCTCTGTCTTTTTAATGACCTTTTCCGTTTTCCTGTATGATGCCTGTGATGTCTACCCACAACTCTTCTGGTCTTTGGTCTTTAGTGTTCAGTGCATCAAATCTATTCTTGAGATTGTCTCTAAATTCAGGTAAGAGGTGTTCAAGGTCCTATTTTGGCTCTCTTGGACTTGGTTTGATTTTGTTTAGGTTCAACTTACACTTGCACATGAACAACTGATGGTCTGTTTCACAGTCAGCCCCTGGTTTTGTCTTAACTGATTATATTAAGCTTCTCCATCATCTCTTTCTATAGAGACATAGTCAGTTTGATTCCTGTGTAATCCATCCAGTGAGCTCTATGTGTATAGTTGTTGATTATGTTATTGAAAATAAATATTTCTGATGAACAAGTCGTTAGTCTTACAGAATTCTATCATGTGACCTCTGGCATTGTTTCTATCATCAAAGCCGTATTTTCCAAATAAAGATCCTTCTTTATTTCCATCTTTCCCATTCCAATCAGCAGTAATTATACATGCATCTTGATTTCACCAGTTCGTAAAAATCTTCAATTTCTTCATCTTTGTCATTCATGGCTGGTGCATAAATCTGTGTAACAGTCATATTTACTGATCTTCCTGGTAGGCATATGGTCAGTAACATATCACAGACTGCACTGCACTTCAGGATAGATCTCAAAATGTTCTTTCTAATAATGAATGCAACACCATTCCTCTTTAATATGTCATTACCGGCATAGTAGACCATATAACTGTCAAAAAAAATGGCTCAGCTCACCAATACCTAGGTTATCAATCTTCAGGTGTTTCATTTCATTTTTGACGACTTCCAATTTTCCTTGATTCATACTTGATACATTCCACATTCTGATTACTAATAAATTTTTGAGGCTGTTACTTCTCATCTTGGGTCATGCCATATCAGGAAATGAAGGTCCCGAAGGCTTGTCATTAAGGTTGACTCTACTTTGAGGAGGTAGCTCTTTTCTAGTCATACTCTGAATTCCTTCCAACCGGGAAGGCTCATCTTCTAGCACTATATCAGGCAAAATTCTGTTGCTATACATAAGGTTTTCATTGGCTAATTTTCTGAAGTAGATCGCCAGGCCTTTCTTCCTATTGTCTTAGTCTGCAAGCTCCACTGAAACCTGTCTGTCCACCATGGCTGAACCTGCTGGTATGTGAAATACCAGTGGCAGAGCTTCCAGCCTCATACCAATACACAAGGTACCACAGTACAACAAACTAACAGGTAAATAAATGATAACACGTGAAGGGTAAGGAAAATAGAGGAGCCAAGGACAATTCACAAGTTGTAATTTGAAGAACTAGATGTAGGAGGGAGTCATTCATTCAGATACAGAACAAGTTTGAGAACAAAGATGATGCACTCATTTTTTAACAAGCTGAGTTTGGACACCTGGAGTTTGGGAAAGAGGTCTGGACAAGCCGGTCATTCGCCCCAGGAAGTGGAGGAAAAAAACAGAAAACAGCAAAAAAAACAAATTCATATGTTTTGGGGGCTCTTTATTTCACATTATGTTTAAATTTTATCATTATCTAGTGGCTAACAATTTCTGGTAGGAAGAACTATTCTTTTGAAACGATAGAATGTCACACTGTTATAAGGTCAGTCACAGGATGAGGGAACTGATGCGCTTGTTGTCATCTGAATGATGAATTTTCTTTCTACCATTTGCAGGAGAGAATGTTAAAGCTTCCTTTCACAAAAGTCAAAGGAATTGAAAGAGCCATTCCTTTAACTGCCCCTTTATTTAGATCTATCAGCATAAAAAGGGAATAATTCACCTGTGCTGAGAAGGAATAGAATCCAGCAAAATGATAACAAATTACTTCATAAATTACTGATGCTAAGTTGTCTGACTCCAAGATTTAGGTGCTTTAGAAAGTTAGATTTACATATCAGGTATGATCTAGTAAGAAACATCTCATAAAACTTAGCTTTTTAGCTATTTACTGTTTTTTTAAAAGACTTGTCCTTTTTTAGAACATTATGTTTAGATGTTCTGATGGAATTAAAAATTAACTGTTGAAAGTTAGCAGTTTTTATCTATGCCTTAGCTTAAAGCACCTATATGATGTCACTCAAAATTATAGATCATATAACCGAAGTACTGTCTAGATAATGACAGATAATTCTAACTGAAAGCAAAGTACTTCCTCCCCACCCCCCCAAAAAATTCTTTAACTGTAAATGTAAATATACACAGTGAAATACTTTCTTACAGATCACAAGTTTCTAGAGCTAATTCTCAGTTTTCAGCTCCAAACTCCACAGACAAGTCTATTTAAAAATATAAGCCTAAATTGGTCTTGTTTGCTTTCAAAATTAAACTAAATATTGACTATTAAAATTCTAGGGGCAATATTTCAATATCATCTCCTTTTTTAAAAATACATGTAAAATATAAGAAAGCTCATAAGTCAAAGGTAGTTAGAACTTCGATAACATTTTAAAGCTATATTAAAGGTGGAGAAAAAAACAAGTATCTATATCTATATATACATCTTCATTTTATATCATAAATGAATTCCTAAAGAGATGAGTACATGGATCAAATTATTATAAAGTAAGTTAAATGCATGAAAGATACTTGTTTTTAAAAATAATTCCATGTCAATCCATTTAATAAAGTGCAAAACCATCCTCTAACTATCTAAATTGATACTGTCAGCTTTAAGACTGCTTAGAATGGGGGCACACATGTATATGCATATTTTCTTAAAATCATTTCCAACAATATTATTTTTCAGAGTATTAGATTTATATTATTTCAAATGTGGTAAGCTAAACAAAATACTGAACAACATACCTTTCAGATAAATTAAGGCTTTGGTGAAGAGGTTCTAATTTTTGACATGCCTCTAGGTTGTCAACAGATGTCGAAGGCAAGGAGTCTGAATGCACCTTGTTGGCATCACATAAATTAGCATCGTTTCTAGGTAGGGTCTTTCTGAATTTTCGTCCTAAATCCGTCCATAGGACATTCGTCAACATAACTTTGAGTTGCCTGTTACACACATAAATAATTAATACATACAGTACTAAACATTGTATAATACATGAATTCATCACAAACCATAAGAAATGAAACCTTCAAATTTCAGTCCTTCAAGTAATAATAGTAAATCTCTTAAGTAAAAAAATTTGCCTAACCATTCTCAAATATACACTAAAAAGTAAAGTCTGTTCTACTTAAATTGGGATTTTCTTCAGAATTCTGTTTGGCAGACTACAACTGTGGTTAAACACATGTATAGTTGTTAGATTCCTGGCAGCCCATCTATGCCTATCAGCACTGCTAGTAGTGGAAGGACAATATATGTCTGCACATCTCATCACAAAGGCAAACTCTTCCTGTACTAAAAATATTCTTGTTTTAGCATTTGTTGATTCAGAAAGAATCATTAAAACTAAGAGCACAATAGTACATCATCTACAGTTTTAAGCCTACACAGTCAAGTATATAGACTTAATTTTATCTTATTCCTAAAAATAGGTCAATTTAAAACATTTACTTTTATAAAACATTTATTTTAATATCAACTTCAGAAGGAAGACTAATAAATGGAAGCAGTTCCAGTTTTTTGCCTCATCTTATTTTGACCATCTGATCATTCAATATAGCTTTATGACAAAACTTGAAGAACTGTGTTCAGGTCCACAACCATAGCATATAGATAATCTGAAGTTTTACAGTGGTATAAACTGGCTACCAAGTTGACTAGAAACAATATCAAATGAGGAATGGCTGAAAGAAATGGAAATGTTTAGTCAGAAATGTGACTATTTTACTCACTAGTAAGCAGTTTCAGGCATTTTTTTCTTTGCTTGTTTAACAAACACAAGAATGTTAAAAAATAAAAAGCGAAATGCTCGCCTATGATAAGATAAAACAGGAGACCTCAGAGAAATCACTTGTTTGCACCAACCACTTTGGGCTATATCCCTGGACCATCTAAAAAGAGAAGGGTACAAGTCCTCAGACAAACATCCATACAAGGCACTGAAACTCCGAATATTTTTAATCCTAAAATAAATAAATACATAAAAGTTTAATTTATTGGTTTCAGAAAAATCATTAAAGACTAAAGAAATGAATGGCATCTCTAAGAATAAGAATAATTCATTCTTCACTCAACAAATACTTTCTTGAATACTTTCTAACAAACAACTATGCTAGGATCTGGAGATTCAGGAATGACAAGATAGAGTTCCTACCTTTGTGAGGTTACATTCTAGAGAAGAATTACCCAATTAATTACTTAACTACAATTGTGGTAAGTTAATATGGAAGAGAAGCAGGTACTTCTTCTGACCAGATCAGGAAAGGTTTTGTTGAGAATATGATCTTTAAGCTGAAATTTCAAAGAAGAATAGGCACTATCTACGGGAAATGAAGGGAAAGAGGTCCAAGAAGAGGGACAAAATGCAAATGCTCTCAAGTGAAAGAAGCCAGTTCAAAGAAATTAAAGAATGATGTGGCTCAAGTGCTTACACTGAAGAAGAAAACTGTACAAGGTAAAGACAAGCACTTGGGCAGTATATGTACGTACAGTCACGAGTTGCTTAATGTCCACAATAATGTTCTGTGAAACAAGATATTATGGGATCTGCACATTGTGCAAACACTACTTTATCTAAGATTTCAACAAATTCTGCTGCAGACTTCACATCAGCACTCACAGACTCATTGTCACATTATGCAGCGATAAACGCTGTTTGAAGCGCTTTAACCACCCAAAGCTAGCACTATACTTAATATCATTGTCTGGTCCTGCTTTTTCTTTAAGCATCTCGAACAAGCTTCGTGCGTTAGCAGTGATCATCAACGTGCTGAAAGGGATTCATTTCTGTGTTTGGTTCTCAATTTGCATCATTAGCAATTTCTCCATATGTGATATAGGTCCCTCTCACATTTTCACTACCCTTGTAGCTTTCACTGGAGCCGATCCTTTAACAGCTTGGAGAATTTTTTCATTTTTGAGGTTACATCTGCTATGTCCCATTCTCCAGTTAGGATTTCTGAATTCTATTACAACCTTATGGGACAATGGACGTATATGCAGTTGGACAATGCCTGAACAGATGTTATGGGGCACATGACTTTATATATGTGTACATACATATGTGTAAATGTGATACTCAAATGCATGTATAAAAGAAACTGAGAGAGGACAAATGTGGGAAAATGTTAACTGGTGATTCTAGATAAAGGGTGTGTGAGTGTTCACCGTACTCTTGACAAAATAATTCCATATCTGGGATTCTGTATTAAAGAAAATATGAAATATAGGGGGGAAAAGGTCATACACAAAGATATCCATCATGGTATTATATAGAACAGCAAAGAACAAAAAAACAATTTTAAATGCCCAGCAACAACAGAATGATTAAGTAACCATGATAAAGTTACTCAGTGGACTGGCATGTAGTCTCTTAAGTCTTTAAATTTTAAAGGGTGACTGCTTATCTCTGTGTAGTAAGACTGTGTGCCTTTTTTTTTTTCCTCTTTTTAATTGTCTTTTTTTCTAACTTATCTATAATAAGCATTATTTATATAAAGGAAAATGTCAATTTTTTTAAGGACTGGTAAATAGTTCATATTTACCTGGCCAAACATTATCAAATGACTAATGAAATGAGTAGATTTTTCTTTTTTTGTACTTCAGATGAAGGTATACAGAGCAAATTACTTTCTCATTAAACAACTAATACACATACTGTTTTGTGACATTGGTTGCCAACCCTACGACAGGTCAACACTCTCCCCTTCTCAACCTTGGGTTCTGCACTACCAACTTTCCTGTCTCCTCCTGCCTTCTCATCCTTGCCCCTGGGCTGGTGTGCCCATTTAGTCTCGTTTTGTTTTATGGGCCTTTAACCTTTGGCTGAACGGTGAACCTCAGGAGTGACTTCATTACTGAGTTAAAACGGTGTCCGGAGGCCATACTCTCAGGGTTTCTCCAGTATCTGTCAGACCAGTTTAAGTCTGGTCTTTTTTTGGGAGTTAGAATTTTGTTCTACATTTTTCTCCAGCTCTGTCTGGGACCCTCTATTGTGATCCCAGGCAGAGCAGTTGGTGGTGGTAGCCAGGTACCATCTAGTTGTGCTGGACTCAGTCCGAGGTAGTTGTGGTCCATTAGTCCTTTAGACTAATCTTTCCCTTGTGTCTTTGGTTTTCTTCATTCTCCCTTGCTCCAGACGAGGCTGAGACCAGTGGAATATCTTAGATGGCTGCTCACAACGTTTTAAGACCCCAGACGATACTCACCAAAGTAGGATGTAGAATAATTTCTTTATAAACTATGTTATGCCAATTGAGCTAGATGTTCCCCGAGCCCATGGTCCCCACGGCCCTCAGTCCAGTAATTTGGACCCTCAGAGAGTTTGGATGTGTCTATGAAACTCCCATGACACTGCCTTGGATAAACTGTGCTGACTTCCCCAGCATTGTGTACTGTCTTACCCTTCACCAAAGTTACCATTTATCTATTGTCTAGTTAGTGTTTTTCCCTCCCCATCCCTCCCCTCCCTAGTAACCATCAAAGACTGTTTCTTTCTGTGTGTAAATCACTGCATGAGGTTTTATAATAGTGGTCTCATACAATATTTGTCCTTTTGTGATTGACTTATTTCACTCAGCATAATGCCCTCCAGATTCATCCATGTTGTGAGATGCTTCACAGATTCATCATTGTTCTTTATCGTCGCATAGTACTCCATTGTGTGTATGTACCATAGTTTGTTTATCCATTCATCTGTTGATGGGCATCTAGGTTGTTTCCATCTTTTTCCTATTGTGAATAATGCTGCAGTAAACACAGGTGTGTATATGTCTATTCATCTGACGGTCGTTATTTCTCTAGGATATATTCCTAGGAGTGGGATAGCTGGATCGTATGGCATTTCTGTTTCTAGCTTTTTAAAGAAGCACCATACTGTTTTCCAAAATGACTGTACTATTTTACATTTCCACTAGCAGTTCATAAGAGTTTCAATCTTCCTGCAGCCTCTCCAATATTTGTTATTTTCTGTTTTTTTGATTTGTGCCAATAATGTTGGGGTGAGATGGTATCTCATCGTACTTTCGATTTGCATTTCTCTAACGGCTAATGATTGGGAACATTTCCTCATATGTCTGTTAGCCACCTAAATGTCTTCTCTGGTGAAGTATCTCTTCATATCCTTTGTCTATTTTTTAATTGGCTTATTTGTCTTTTTGTTGCAGAGGTGTTAGATTTTCCCATAGATTTTAGAGATTAGACCTTTGTCACATTTGTCATAGTCAAAAATTTTTTCCCAGTCTGCAGGTTCTCTTTTACTCTTTTGGTGAAGTCTTTTGATGAGCTTAAGTGTTTAATTTTTAGAAGATCCCAGTTATCTAGCTTATCTTCTGGTGTTTGGGTATTGTTAGTTATGGTTTGTACCCTATTTATGCCATATATTAGGGCCTCTAGTGTTGACCTTATTTTTTCTTCTATGATCTTTATAGTTTTTGGTTTTATATTTAGATCTTCGGTCCATTTTGAATTAGTTTTTGTCTATGGTGTGAGGTATGGGTCCCATTTCATTTTTTTGCAGATGGACATCCAGTTTTGCCAGCACCATTTATTAAAAAGACTGGCTTTTCCCCATTTAATGGACTTTGGGCCTTTGTCAAAGATCAGGTTACTGCAGGTGGATGGATTTACGTCTGAGTTCTTGATTTTCTTCCACTGGTCAATGTGTCTGTCGTTGTACCAGTACCAGGCTGTTTTGCTTACTGTAGCTGTATAGCAGGTTCTGAGGTAAGTAGATATTTTTTACAGTCAGGAAATGAGACTATGTTTTTATGAAGATTTAAAACTGCAGAACTACTGTATGACTTAGTAATTTTCTAAATAATTTGGGAAATTATTATCACAATAGTAATTTTAATAATCTTAAATATGAAAATATATAATGTTAGAAAAGCCATTTGTTTTCTATTCTGTACCCAGGTGGTGGTTACACGAGTATTTACCTTAT